GAACAGGAAGATCAAGCCTCACAGAGTAGTGAGAGAGAAGGAACTGAAGGAACAGGAAAATCAAGCCACACAGAGTAGTGAGAGAGAAGGAACAGGCAGATCAAGCCACACAGAGTAGTGAGAGAGAAGGAACTGAAGGAACAGGAAGATCAAGCCTCACAGAGTAGTGAGAGAGAAGGAACTGAAGGAACAGGAAGATCAAGCCACGCAGAGTAGTGAGAGAGAAGGAACAGGCAGATCAAGCCACACAGAGTAGTGAGAGAGAAGGAACTGAAGGAACAGGAAGATCAAGCCACACAGAGTAGTGAGAGAGAAGGAACTGGAGGAACAGGAAGATCAAGCCTCACAGAGTAGTGAGAGAGAAGGAACTGAAGGAACAGGAAGATCAAGCCTCACAGAGTAGTGAGAGAGAAGGAACTGAAGGAACAGGAAGATCAAGCCACACAGAGTAGTGAGAGAGAAGGAACAGGAAGATCAAGCCACACAGAGTAATGAGAGAGAAGGAACAGGAAGATCAAGCCACACAGAGTAGTGAGAGAGAAGGAACAGGAAGATCAAGCCACACAGAGTAGTGAGAGAGAAGGAACTGAAGGAACAGGAAGATCAAGCCTCACAGAGTAGTGAGAGAGAAGGAACTGAAGGAACAGGAAGATCAAACCACACAGAGTAGTGAGAGAGAAGGAACAGGAAGATCAAGCCACACAGAGTAGTGAGAGAGAAGGAACAGGAGGAACAGGCAGATTAATAAAACAAAAACACTCCTAAACTCATGATTTATTTGGCTTGTGTAACATACGAGTCACATAAATGCATCTGCATTGAGATCCATTTATGGTGACATTTATAATTAATATTATTATTAATATAATTAATATTTACAGTTGAAATCGTACATATTGGCTTCTGTAGTTTGAATTTCGCTCTTCCCTATTACCACCTCAAGTGGTCATCATTTTGGCTTCACCATCTGAAGCTTATAATATTTAATTTTCATATATATATGACACATACTGGGCAGGAAAAATAAATAAAACATCTATTATGCATAGTTATGAATGTTTTACACTAGGTTCAGTCTGCAGCAAAGCCATGTTTGCGTGGGACTTGTAGAGTAATACCGGACGAACACAACACGCAGAGTCAACACAGGCAGACGATGAGAGAATGGCAAGTCATCACAAGTATGTTGGAGTGTCTTGGTCCCCCCCTTCCCCCCCCCCCTCCAAAATTATACAAAAATATAAATTAATACAGTAGATTTGACCGTCCGGGACTCACTGCGTCTACCACTTGACTGGTATCCTGTACACACATGGCCCTCTGTGTAAACTCAATGGCATAAACAGTGCTAAATATACTACACTAACTAAAGACCGGATACGGCTAAGCCCAACCGTTGCTGGACTTGGCCGTCCGATAATGACTGGCCTTAGTGAGTCCCGCTACAGGTCCCGCACTGTACCGTCATCTCCAACCAAACTTTCGATTACTTGGACGCCCTTCGCGCATCTTGACGAACTGTACACTATCAACTGAGGTAGCTGGTTTGTGGCAAGTGGAATCATAGTGGGGCCGGAGGGGGAACCAGGACCTCTGAGGTCTTGCATGTGGGGTCATGGCACCCAGCTTTGGTAGTCCCACCTCATAGTAAGAGGCCAGACTGCTAGTAGAACCGCGTTGTGTTGGTTACCTTGTCTATACACATAAGATTAGGACGGCAGATAAGCACACAAGAGGGAGGCCTACACAGAGCTCAAGCTGAACCAAGACACAAGCCAGGCCGCCCCCAACCTGACCAACAACAGAGGGACACCTTCCTACTCATTCATGCATTAGTGCAAAGTCAAGCCACTGGTCTTGTCCTCTATGGTGACATGGGGGCAACAACCACCACACCTCAGCAAGGCAGGTCTTCCAAAGATTGTTGTGTGGACCAAACTAGGCTGATCTAAGCATTCCGGAGGCTATGGGTTCCAGTAAACAACTGCCACTAACCAGGGAATGAGATCAAGTAGTACTCTCCCTACCCCTACACAGGTTAGTAGTGGTGCCAGCTTTGCAACAGGGTTTGGTACCACTATGGTAGGTTTTACAATTTAAAGATGAACATGATTTTTAGAGGTAAAGAGCAGAGCGCTGGGTCCGATCATGGCCTGTCTGCTCCATACGATAGGGGAGCAAGGTTCCCGAACCTTTCCCTAGGGAGCTAGCCTGCAGCCAGGCAGACCAGTCAGGCCTCTGGTCCAGCTACGAGACACCTGAATTCCGAACAAAAACATACGCTATTACAACCAGAGCTAGCCAGCCAGCCCGGCAAGTTGAAAGCAATAGGGTGAAAATAGTAAGACTTGAGATAAGAGGAAGTCCTTACTTGTACTGGGTACCCTAAGCAAGGATGGTTAGAGTACCCAGTACTCTGCTCTAGTACCTCACTGGGTCGTTCCGGACGCTCGACGTGTCATCTGGAACCTGTACGTCAATAAAGCGGCTAGTTGTGGCTGGAAGACTGGGAGGAAACGAGCGCTCCGCCACCTAACTTGACTGTCCATGGTGGCAGCAATATAGGCCAGTAGAATTCTGCAGCGTCATTTCCTTGAAACTGCAGCATCTCTAATTCAAAATTATAGCATAACATTTGTATAGGCCTAATTCTGTTTTGGTGAATTCCAGCTTGATGCTCTTAAGTTCCGTTCTGCCACTCCATAAACCAAGAACAATTATGACCTATTATAATTAGTTAACATATTTTGTATAACTCTTGTCAGTTTTTGTGTCAGGTAGTAAAGTTTATTGTTTATATTGATAAAACCCTATTCCATGACCTCATTGCTGAAATAACATATTCCAGCTAACTTTTTTTTCATGCAAGGTTTAGTAGGGTAGTTGAACAACTGGTACGTGTTAGTGTGTGGCTTCTTTATAAAGCTATTATTATTATTTAAATCAATTTAAAGTAGCATAGGCCGAAATTAAATTTAGTTAATACTGTATAATTTTCAGCTTGGAAAACACATAATATGAAGTTTATCATCTTGTGATCCTAAGGTTTCCTCAGCCACTCAGTTTCACCACATCTCACCCAAGATGTTATCACTTTATCAAACTACTTAAGCTTATTTTGCATTTATATATATATTATATATATTTTATATATATATATATATATATATATATATATATATATATATATATATATATATATATATATATATATATATATATATATATATATATGTGTCGTACCTAGTAGCCAGAACGCACTTCTCTGCCTACTATGCAAGGCCCGATTTGCCTAATAAGCCAAGTTTTCATGAATTAATGTTTTTTCGACTACCTAACCTACCTAACCTAACCTAACCTAACTTTTTCTGCTACCTAACCTAACCTAACCTATAAAGATAGGTTAGGTTAGGTTAGGCAGGGTTGGTTAGGTTCGGTCATATATCTATGTTAATTTTAACTCCAATAAAAAAAAATGACCTCATACATAATGAAATGGGTAGCTTTATCATTTCATAAGAAAAAAATTAGAGAAAATATATTAATTCATGAAAACTTGGCTTATTAGGCAAATCGGGCCTTGCATAGTAGGCTGAGAAGTGCGTTCTGGCTAATAGGTACGACATATATATATATATGTATATAAATATATATATATATATATATATATATATATATATATATATATATATATATATATATATATATATATATATATATATATATATATATATATATATATATATATATATATATATATATATATATATATATATATATATATATATATATGTATATATATATATATATATATATATATATATATATATATATTTATATTAAACAGTAGGATCAATATGCTTGGTGGTCACTAAGCATCTTTAGTCTACATTTCTGAAATAGGTGATCATTGTATCATTAATATATATTGGCAAGTGATGCAATATATTGCAATGAATCTGCACGTTTTGATGTGAAGTGTAATAAAGCTGTTGAACTACAGTAGTGTATATTGGTGAGGAGGAGACAGAAGAACGACTTGTGCAGTCTTGGTGCTGGCAATAGTCTTCCATCCTTCTTGGTGTTGACAAAAAATATCATTATGTGCTCACTCATATTACAATGAAAAGAAATTTACATCTAAGAGTAAAGAAAGGAAGTCATTATATACACCAAATATCAAACAAAATTAGATCAACCAAGTCAACTGGTCTAGATTGATGTAAATGCAGTGTCAATCAGGGCACGTCCAACTGTGTATCAGCACCCTTGTTCCAGCCACCTGGCTTGTATTTACACAACACTTTAGTCTCACATTAGCTGCTGTACACAAGCACTAGACATAACATGGTAAACACAGAACTTAATATATAATTTATATTGCTATGTACAGTATACATGTCTTTTCTTATTTGATCCCCAGGATCTGACCAAGCAAAATTGGTGTGCTCACAGAACACACAAGTGCTCACAGACAGAACACACAAGTCAGAGGAAAGTCACACGAGCTGACTAGTACTCTGATACAGCACCAATGCTCACCGTGATTCCTTATGCTTCTCGACTGATTTATGTGCGGATGGTGATGACACGAAGGCGAGTCAGCCCACTAGCCAGTGCTAGCAAGTGCAGCCCCACAGTGACTGCAGGATCACCAACATAGACCCAAGTGTTGGGTTCCTGCTGCTCCACTGGTGACTGGACCTGATCATTTGAGAAAGAAGCTTCTCAAGTCTCCGAGCTTCTCTCCGTTGGTGGACACATGCGCTCACTGTCCCAGGCACCACGGATCCAATGCAGGCTTGCTTATATCTATGACTACTTGTTTCTTTGGCTTGCTTACACTACACTGAGGCACCTCACAACCCCTTCCTCCTCACTGGTCGTCTGCAGCATCTTGAAGATACTATTTTGAACTTCTTGACGCTTGTGGTCCTCCTCCTCCCTTGCTTGAGATATCACTGACGACTGGCTGCGTGGCCCAACAGGAACAACATAGGTCACATGACCCCAGCAGTGCCACTAAAAGTAATGGAGTTTCACAAGTACAGTTGAGTATTGTTGACACCACCAACACCAGAGGTGTCTAGTGGTAGCAAGAGATCTCCAGCACCGTCGCCATTCCACGCCTTGTCTGCTTGGGGAGTGCGGGGACGCTCACGTATTCAACATAAAGCTTTAATCTGAAATTTAAAAGCAAAATATATTTAATTGTTAAAGTACATTAAGGGATATAAAATTATATGCATTCACAATGTAATAATGATGAAGACAGTTTGGGGAACATATTGTCCTAACACTGGCTATTAATCTGTACAGAGCTGAGCCTCAGGAAACATGAAGGATGAATGTACACGCAATCATAACAAACTTGCCTGGAGAAAAGTACATTTTAAATGTTATAGAATTTTTCTTAGACATTTTTAATGCTTCACATTCCCAAGGTTCGCATAGGTTCGAATCCTCATCACGACACCGACGGATTTTCTCATCAAAGAGTGATATAATCAAGTGCTTTGGGATGGGAGAAATACCGACAGTTATTATGTTGGTCAACCTGCATATGCCGCTGATGATATCCTCTTGATGTGGGCTTCAGGGGATTGAACCTCAAGGGACGGGAGGTCTTCTTTTAATGCATTTTGTGGTTTTTTCATGACAGTTTGGAAGAACCTCTTTTGTGGGTTTGATCTCATGCCATAACCCGCTCGTTCTCCTCTGAAGTCATCTTGGTCTCTGGATTAGTTTCTAATACCCTTCTGCTCTTCTCTCCTTGTTCCCACACATCTCTGCCTGCCTGGGTTCCCCTTGTATGGTAACATTTAGTTAGCCAGTCTTCCTGTTACTAGGGGTAAGGTTAGCTTTATGCTCGTCCAGAATTGGGAGTTTTGTTCATTTGGGTTGTGGTAGGCAGTTTGTTTGGCTGCAGCTAGAGTGTCTAGTGTCACTAGAGGGGAAGTGAGGTCTAGCTCTTCATGCCTCGCCTACTAGCCTTGTTTTACCTGTTGCGTTATAGCTCAACTATTCTAATGCTCAAATTCTTTGTTAAATTTGTCCTTAAAGTTGTGGATGGAAGTGGCTTCTACAACTTCTTCTCGAACTGCATTTCACTTGATGACCGCCCATACTGGCTATGAACATTTCTTACAGTTCTTAGACTCATTTGCTTCCAGCTTACATTTGTGTCCTATTATCCTACGTTCTCTCACTTTAAAGATGCTATCCTGGTCTACCTTGTCTATTCCTTTCAGTATCTTGTATAGCGTAATCACATCTCCTCTATTTCTTCTGTCTTCTAGGACTGCGAGCTCCAGTTCCTGAAGCCTTTTCCCATAGCTTAACTCTTTTAGCTCTGGGACTAATATAGTCACAGACCTTTACACTTGTTCAATTTAAGTTTTTGGCTTCACAAGGTGTGGATTCCAGGCTGGAACTGGATTATCCAATATTGGTCTAGCAAAAGCTGAGTAGATTGCCTTGAAAGAGTCCTGATTTTGGTTAGTAAGGATCGCTCTAATGTTTGCCAGCATCCCTTATGCTGCCGTCACCCTGCCTATGTGTGCCTTTGGTGTTGGTGTTGGAATTATATCTACTTCCAAATTTCGTTCTTTGACTGTGACTTTGTCTTCTGGCCTTCAAGTACTCCCTTACCCAGTTTAGTGACTTCTTAATTATCCCAGCTTGCATCTTTGTCATGTGTACCAGTCTTTCACGAGGGACAATATCAAAAGCTTTTTGACAGTCTAGGAACGTGCAATCTACCCAGCCTTCTCTTTCCTGTCTTATATTAGTAAGCTGGTGATAGAGGTGGACCAAGTTGGTCAGGGACAACTTCCCCCTCCTGAAACCATGCCGGCAATATCTTATGAAGTGTGTCCTCTGCTGGTGCTCCACTCTTCTTGACCTGATTGCTCTCTCCACCACTTTACATAGCATACTTGTCAGTGATATTGGTCTGGTTCACTGGTTTAGTGGTTCACTGGGTGGCTGCTCTTGGCCTGCCCATAGCTTGCCCATGGGCCCTTGTCATCCGCAGGTCTTCCCTCTCTTCTGTGTCTTGACAAGAAATTTCGACTCGTGGCTGCTGGCATTTTAGTCGGGATCCTGACTGCAAGACAGCCAGGTATGATCCGAGGCTCTGGGCTGATCTCTCCGGGGTGACTATTGGTGTGACCCCAGACTGTCTTCCTATGGTGCGGGCCTGCTTCCTGGGTACCCATGGCGGACCGCTCGGCCAGTCACTCAGGTGGCCATCCCAGAAATTCAGTATTGAACATAATGAAATGCTTCTTTCTGGTGAGGCCAATGGTGTTTCTCCGGTCTTACCTTCACCATTTTCCGTGTTATTGACTTGTGGTGATATCCTCAGGTGGCCGGAGCTGATATCTGGTGGTGATTAAGTCCTGTTTACTAGCAGTTGCTTGCCGATAACGACATGTGGATTTTCCTTGCTTCTACGGGGGCCTCCGTAGAAGAAATTGTTCTTCTGGTCCTGCCGTCTAGTAGTAGTCGCTCCTACAGCCAGGTGTGATAACAGCGTTGGACATAGCAGATGGCCCCAGCATCCACCGAGGGACTTCACCGTCGAAAAGATATGTCACTTTATATATATCATTACAATTGCCCGGCAAGTGTGTGCCATTGATTGGCGCCAGACTTTGCTTATGGCTAATCCGCTTCCTTAAGTGGCTGCATCTCTGGCTTTGGCCCGCTCTGTCAGCCGAATATTGTAAGGCTTTTGCAGTCTGTCTGCAGCGGGTGTCAATCCCCTACTTCTACTAAATATATTTACAATTGTTTATTTTGGTATTTGTGTTTTGTTCCAGCCTGTTTCCTATGCTGTTTCCTCTGCTGCTGCTGCCTGTACTGGGATCAGTTTGCTTGACGTTTCATTCCCTTTATCAGTTCAGACTGAAGAGTTGTTTTAAGTTGTGGGCAACTCCTGTCTCCCTTTAGAGAGCAACATTTCCCAGTTGTTTGTTGAGCCGTTGACTGCCGCTTTGTTCATGTGTTCCGCTTCTCCACCGAGCAACAACATTGTGTCCACATTGTGCATCCCAGAGCTTTATCCACATTGTACATCCCAGAGCTTTATCCACATTGTACATCCCAGAGCTTTATCCACATTGTACATCCCAGAGCTTTATCCACATTGTACATCTCAGGGCTTTATCCACATTGTGCATCTCAGGGCTTTATCCACATTGTGCATCTCAGAGCTTTATCCACATTGTGCATCCCAGAGCTTTATCCACATTGTACATCCCAGAGCTTTATCCACATTGTACATCCCAGAGCTTTATCCACATTGTACATCTCAGGGCTTTATCCACATTGTGCATCCCAGAGCTTTATCCACATTGTACATCCCAGAGCTTTATCCACATTGTACATCCCAGAGCTTTATCCACATTGTACATCCCAGAGCTTTATCCACATTGTACATCTCAGAGCTTTATCCACATGGTTCATCTCAGGGCTTTATCCACATTGTACATCTCAGAGCTTTATCCACATTGTGCATCCCAGAGCTTTATCCACATGGTACATCTCAGGGCTTTATCCACATTGTACATCTCAGAGCTTTATCCACATGGTTCATCTCAGGGCTTTATCCACATTGTGCATCTCAGAGCTTTATCCACATTGTACATCTCAGAGCTTTATCCACATTGTACATCTCAGAGCTTTATCCACATTGTGCATCCCAGAGCTTTATTCACATGGTACATCTCAGGGCTTTATCCACATTGTACATCTCAGAGCTTTATCCACATGGTTCATCTCAGGGCTTTATCCACATTGTACATCTCAGGGCTTTATCCACATTGTACATCTCAGGGCTTTATCTACATTGTGCATCCCAGAGCTTCATCCACATGGTTCATCTCAGGGCTTTATCCACATTGTACATCTCAGGGCTTTATCCACATTGTACATCTCAGGGCTTTATCCACATTGTACATCCCAGAGCTTTATCCACATTGTACATCCCAGAGCTTTATCCACATTGTACATCTCAGGGCTTTATCCACATTGTACATCCCAGGGCTTTATCCACATTGTACATCTCAGGGCTTTATCCACATTGTACATCTCAGGGCTTTATCCACATTGTACATCCCAGGGCTTTATCCACATTGTACATCCCAGGGCTTTATCCACATTGTACATCCCAGAGCTTTATCCACATTGTACATCTCAGGGCTTTATCCACATTGTACATCCCAGGGCTTTATCCACATTGTACATCTCAGGGCTTTATCCACATTGTACATCCCAGAGCTTTATCCACATTGTACACCCCAGAGCTTTATCCACATTGTACATCTCAGAGCTTTATCCACATTGTACATCTGAGGGCTTTATCCACATTGTACACCCCAGAGCTTTATCCACATTGTACATCCCAGAGCTTTATCCACATTGTACATCTGAGGGCTTTATCCACATTTATCACTATATACTAAATACCAGCCTCACATTACGTTATATCTTTGCTAACTGTTGTTGGACAAGCCCACAATTTTACCGAGTTTGTCCTGCAATGTGTAGCAGCAGCCCGTCCCCTTAAGGCCTCCTAACGTCAAGAAACTCTCGTACTAAAGTGTCCTTATCCTAACCTACCAGAGGACCCAAAACAGAAAACGGGACAGTATGTCAATATCACAAGCCGTAATTTTGTACAAGCCACAATTAGATCGCATTCTGACGTATACTCCATCTATGGCCAAAAATCGTCGTACAAGGAAATTACTACAGTAAATCACTAACACTCCGAGGCCTCCCTGATGCCCGCCAGACAATCAGAGCTCTCACCCTGATGGCCGCCAGACAATCAGAGCTCTCACTATGATGCCCGCCAGACAATCAGAGCTCTCACTATGATGCCCGCCAGACAATCAGAGCTCTCACCCTGATGGCCGCCAGACAATCAGAGCTCTCACTATGATGCCCGCCAGACAATCAGAGCTCTCACCCTGATGGCCGCCAGACAATCAGAGCTCTCACCCTGATGGCCGCATGACAATCAGAGCTCTCACCCTGATGGCCGCATGACAATCAGAGCTCTCACCCTGATGGCCGCATGACAATCAGAGCTCTCACCCTGATGGCCGCCAGACAATCAGAGCTCTCACCCTGATGGCCGCATGACAATCAGAGCTCTCACCCTGATGGCCGC